CCAGCACTAAAATTATATTACATTGAATGGCAAAGGTCATTGTTAGTTTAAATATTGTTCTTTCTATGTAACAATTGTTTTATGTGCAATTTTAGTTGATTGAAGCTTTATTCGAGCTTCTCTAGGAAAGTGATTTATTATATTATAACAATTTAATCAACTTGTAGGGTTTATATTTATTTTAACTAACATTTATTTTAAGTTTAAACTATCTTTCCTGTCAAGCCTTACTTTCCCCTGGAATTGCCAATGCCAGAGTATGTAAATTTTAGTAGAACGCGCAAGGATTCAAATTATCAGCGGAAGTAATCTGAGTTAAATAGAAAGGAAACGAGTTCGAAAGTGTGCTTTCTTGCTTCACGAGCGTGGAGGTGGCTAGTTAGAAATTGAAGAACCACGCGTTTCGGCCTGTGTGCTTGCCTCGGCAGTTTGTTAATCTTTCAACGTAATATTCAGAGTTTGCTGAATTATCAGCGGTCTTTTAGAACGCGTGGAGATTAGTTACGTTTAGAGAGCCTCGTAGTTAGTCACTTGTTATTATCTCTTTTCAGTTTCTTATTTTTATTTTACCGCCGGGTCGGCGTAGTTTGTGAGCGTCAAGAGCACGCATTTGTAATTTCTAAAGTTGAATAAAAAGGGATTTAAACCCTTCTCAAGACTTTGGTCTCCTTTCCAGTTCTCAGCAGTCACCACTATTGTTGCGTGCAGGTTGGAAGCGCGCAACTTTACATTGGCGCCCGAACACTTGTCGAACTGAAATGGCCGAAAATTGGATGGAAACTGCTGGACAACAACAAGAAATGGCAAGCCAATTGGAAGGATTTGGATACCTGGTCCAGACGATGAGAGCGTCAATTAAGCCAAACGTCAATTTCGACGGAAAAAATTCGGTGGCGATATTTCTAGAAGGCCTAGAAAATCATTTCCAGCTCTACCCTGTTTTTCGGATCATGCGGCTGTTGGTAGACTTTACTCGGGGAAAAACCTAACGCCCAGGTTAATAAGATGGGCTTTAAAACTCCAAGAATATAATCTAATAATCAAATATAAACCGGGTAAGGAAAACAATGTAGCTGACGCACTTTCCTGTATAAAACTGGACGATGAAGGCAATGAACTTAAATGCGCTGTGTTGACTTCAAAAATTTTAGATTCTAGAGATACAATTATTGCTGAATTGAAAGCTGATCCTGAATTTGGAAATATCTATGCATATTTGAAAGACCCCGAAAGCTTTGAGCACACAGATATCGATGCGATAAGAAATAGAGCAGAAAACTATGAAATAATAGATAATTTATTATTTTATACGAAAACAACAAACGAAAATCTCGAGTAAAAACCAGTCATCCCAGCCTCGCTTCGATTAAGCATTTTGAAGGAATTACACGACGCGAAACAGCGGGTCATTTAGGGGTCAGAAAGACTTTAAAAAGGGTACGCGAGGCGGTATATTTCCCGCAATTATACAAAATAGTAACTGCGTATGTCAGGTCCTGCAATCAATGTCAGTTAATAAATGATATTAATTACAGCCCGGCCGGGTACTTAAATAGCATTCGCGCTACATTTCCGAATGAAATTTTAGGCATAGATCTTCTTGGTCCTTTCCCCCAGAGTGAGTTAAATAAAAATCGTTTTCTTTTAGTAATAGTAGATCATTTTTCAAAATGGACAGAAATTGTTCCACTTAAACGCGCGTCAGCCAAAACAGTCGCAGATGCATTCTTACACAGATACATTTTAAAATACGGTGCACCGATAAAAGTCATTAGCGATAACGGTAAACAATTCGTTAGCCAAATATTTGAAAACATATGCACTGGACTTGGCATACGCCATATCAAAATGGTTCCGTATAGACCACAGGCAAACATAGCAGAAGGAGTTAATAAAAACATTGTAAAAATAATTCGAAGTTATGTTAGCACACATCACAAGCGCTGGGATGGCTACATAAATGAGTTAGTTAGCTTATGCTTTAAGAACGGCAAATCACGATACTACGGGAAAAACCCCCAGCAGAATTATTTTTAGGACGGAAAGTTAATTACGCCTTAGAGATAAATTATTCTTTGTGCAACAAAGAGAGCAAGAATTTAAACAGAAAGACGTGCAAACACTTATTGACCAGGCGGTTAAAAGCTCGGATACGGCAAGAAATAGGCAAAAATTATATTATGATAGAAAACGCCGTGAAGCAGATTTTAAAGTTGGGGATAAAGTGTTGAAGCGGAAATTTTCTTTATCAAGTGCCCCAGACAATTTTACTGCAAAGTTAGCTCCAAAATTTGAAGGCCCCTATGTAATTCAGGAAATCAAGGGAGTCGTATTGTACCTTAAGAACGAGAGAGGGGAAATCTGTAAAGCAAGTCCCGACCAGGTGAAAAAATATTATAATCAAAATGATTTTGAAATCCTTAAAAGTTTCTTGCAGGACTCGAGCGTAAAAGAAGTAGAAGGTCCAGAAGTAACATCACCACCACCCAAGAAGCAGAGAACTGAAGAGAAACCTTGCCCTTCTACAAGTCATGCGACGGTATTGAAAAAAAGAAATGAAAACGGTCAGACTCCAGCATTTAAGAAAAACAAGAAAGCAAAGCCGCCGCGTAAAGAAACCTTGGTAAAGAGGAAAACACCACTTACAACGTATCGCAGTCGAAATTCTACATCGAGGAGAACGCTTCCAGGGCCAGGGAGTCAGGTGCAAACAAGGCCGCCGTTCCCGGAAACGAAAAGACAGCAGGAGGAACGAAAAGAACCACCACCAACAGAAGAAATTCAAGCATGACTTCCAGACCGGAGGACGCCAAGACCAGCCGTCCAGGGAAAAAACGGAAAAGACAGCAACCCGACGACTACCACTCCAAGAGGCCAGCATGCAGAGGGCGAAAAAGAAAAAGTAAACGTGGACGACACTCGGAGGACACTAAGGAGAAGACTGACGTCGATGAAACCTATAACGTGGGAGCAGTTCTGCCAGAAGAAGGATGTCGGAGTTCCAATCATCGAAAACTCAAAGATAAGTTAAAATCTTCTATAAATTTTTTTTTTCTTTTGTTCCGAAATGTTATGCGTAAATACGAAGTTCTATGTTTTGACGGAAAGTCAATTGTCTCGGTTGAGACTTAGTTTTGTTTTACTTTATTTAGCTAAGGCAAAAGTATTATTTTCTTTAAGTATAAAATCTAAGAACAAGCAGTTTTCTGTTGGTCGAAAGACTAATTCTGTTATGTTAAAGCCAAAATTTGGCCGAAGATAAAAATAACTTCGTATTCTTGTATTAATAAGAACTTTTAGTTTCAGTGCCGCCAGCTTGGCGAAGAATGAGTAAAGTAAAAATTTATTTTTCTCTTATTCATTTTATGGTAAATTGTAAAAATCATATGTATTAGAATTTTGTAAATATGTACGTAAATACTTGAAAGTTATGTAAAAGTAGAATTTAGTCTAGAAGCATAAAATTTTAGATGCTAAAAGTAAATGCTCAAAAGCAATGAATTCAAATTTAAGTATTAAACTGTAGATAAAATCATGCTTTAGAGCGAAAGCCTGCATGTCTAAAGATGAATGAGGGGGAATTTAGAATGAATGTGTTTTTGTAGGGTTCTCCACCTACACTTGAATTTTAAGAATGTTAAAGTAGCTCATCGAGTTTTAGAATGTCGAGTAAGGTGTGTCTATTTGGTCGTTGAATTCTAACAAATCATTGTGGTTAGGGAAGTGTTGCAATACTAAAACACGAATATTCCCGTTTGACACCACACATGGTGGAGAGCCAGGGTAAAGTTAAATTCATGTTTGAATACTTGAATGAATGTGAATTAAGCAGTAACTAAGGAAAATAAATCGTTCAAAAACAAAAACTTATTCAGTGTCAAGAAAGTGTAAATTATAATGTATTTAGAAAGATACTGATACTTATTCCTTCCAGATGCTGGAAGGAAGAGAACAGATTGATTGCTGAAGTCCAGGAAAGGTTGCTGTAAGAAGAGAAAATTAAATAAGTATCTACAGAAATTTATTCTACCTTTTGTGAGATAACAGATTTTTTTATGTAAACGAGACTCTTAAAATTTAGTTCCTGTCAAGCCTTACTTTCCCCTGGAATTGCCAATGCCAGAGTATGTAAATTTTAGTAGAACGCGCAAGGATTCAAATTGTCAGCGGAAGTAATCTGAGTTAAATAGAAGGGAAACGAGTTCGAAAGTGTGCTTTCTTGCTTCACGAGCGTGGAGGTGGCTAGTTAGAAATTGAAGAACCACGCGTTTCGGCCTGTGTGCTTGCCTCGGCAGATTGTTAATCTTTCAACGTAATATTCAGAAGTTTGCTGAATTATCAGCGGTATTTTAGAACGCGGTGAGGTTAGTTACGTTTAGAGAGCCTCGTAGTTAGTCACTTGTTATTATTCTTTTCAGTTTCTTATTTTTATTTTACCGCCGGGTCGGCGTAGTTTGTGAGCGTCAAGAGCACGCATTTGTAATTTCTAAAGTTGAATAAAAAGGGATTTAAACCCTTCTCAAGACTTTGGTCTACTTTCCAGTTCTCAGCAGTCACCACTATTGTTGCGTGCAGGTTGGAAGCGCGCAACTTTACAAACTAAAATTAACTTACACTTTATTTTTTTGCAAAATGGAAAACCTATTGAAACCAGAAAGATTTGATGTCGACCCTGAATGCGTTGGAGCAGAATCTAAACGAAACCTGAAAAAACGTTTTCAATTTCTCACACAGGAGGCATGAAGAAAGAAAACTACAGCTGTTATGCAATTTCGTATCTGCAAGTATTTATCAATATATTAATGATTCACAATCCTATGATAATGCAATTAATGTTCTGGATTTGTTGTACATTGCTAAAAGAAATGAAAAATTTGCCGGGCACTGTTTAGCATCCAGATTTCAACAAACGAGTGAGTCTGTAAATGAATATTTACAAATATTAAAACAGTTGAGCGAGGAATGTGAATTTAAGTCTGTTACTGAAGAAGAATATAAACATGAGTATATTAGATGCATTCATCCGAGATTTGAAGAACCCACGAATTCGAGAACGGTTATTAGAAAATGCCAGTATTTCGTTAGAAAAAGCTTATGATCAAGCTAGAGCCTTAGAACTTGCAGAACATCATTCTGCCTCATATTTAATATCTTCCTCAGCACCGGTAGCTGTTGCTGAACAGTGTGAGAACAAAAATGACGATAGTGAACAATTGGCAGTAGTTGCTCCTATTCGATCCAGAAAATGTTTCTTTTGTGGGAGAGATCTTCATTTACGAATTATTTGCCCAGCTAAGGATCCAATATGTCAAGGATGTGGCAAAAACGGCCATTACCAAAAGGTATGCAAATCCAAACTTTTACGCAGTACTACTAATTCCACAGCCGCAGTTTATACACTAGCATCAGCTTAAATGCTTCCTCGCTGTCTTGAAAGATCAATAACTAAAGTCCTAGTAAATGGAGTTCAGCTGAATGCCCTGATACCGGTAGTTCACTAAGTTTTATAAATCAGTGTTTTCTAAAAAGATGTCGAATTAAAGTAAAACCATATTTTTGTAGAATAACCATGGCTAACTCTTCTCTAAGCTCAGATATTACAGGCTGTTCTTTAGTTAATATCAAATTGCAAACCCATGTATACACTAATGTAGAGGTATTAATTATGAAACTCCTCTGTGCAGACTTTCTTATTGGGCATGATTTATTGAGATAGAATTTAAAGGTGACAGGACACCTCTTAGAATTTGTTCATTAGCAATTGCTCTTGTAGTGTTATCTGTGTCATTTTTCTCTAATTTAACGCCTGATTGTAGACCTATTGTTACAAAGTCAAGACGCCAAAGTGAAGAAGGTAGAACATTCATAGCCACAGAAGTATGTATATTACTTAAAGAAGGTGTAATTGAACCAAGTAATTCTCCTTGGCATGGACAAGCTTTTGTTGTGAGAGGAGAACATCATAGACCCAGAATGGTAATAGATTATTCGCAGACTATAAACAAATTTACTATGCTTGATGCTTACTCTCTTCCCAAAATTGAAGAGTTAATTTCACAAGTATCAAAATATAAAATATTTCGTACAATTGATCTCAGAAGTGCTTATTATCAGGTTCCTACCAAAGAATCAGAGAAAAACTATACAGCATTTGAAGCTGATGGTAAACTATCAATTTCTACGTGTTCCATTTGGTGTAACAAACGGAGTTACTTCTTTCCAAAGACCAATTGATGAAATAATTTCAAATGAAGAATTATCAGGAACCTTTCCCTACCTTAATGATGTAACTATATGTGGCAAGAATGAATCTGGGCATAATAATAGCTTGGAGAGGTTTGTGGCTGCTATTAAGCAGTATAACCTAACCCTGAATGAGGAAAAATGCACATTTTTCACGAAATCTGTAAAATTGTTAGGCTACTCTATAGCTAATAATATAATAAAACCTGATCCTGATAGACTGAAACCGCTAATGGATTTACTGATTTCTAAAGATATAGGATCTCTACAGCGAGCACTGGGAATGCTTACTCATTATTGCCGTTGGATTCCCAATTTTTCTGAAAAGATTCACCCTCTTTTGACTAGAGGACCTTTTCCCCTTAGTAAAGATGCCGAGAAAGCCTTCAATTCCCTTAAGAGAGATATATCCAAAGCTTCTTTAGCTGCGATTGAGGATAATATACCATTCAGAGTTGAAACTAACGCTTCTGAATTTGCAATAGGAGCAACCCTGTGTCAAGCGGGTCGTACTATAGCTTTCTTCTCTAGAACATTAAACTCTTCCGAACGAAAACATTCTTCTATTGAAAAAGAAGCATATGTTATTGTTGAATTTTACGAAACTGGAGACACTATCTAATTGGAAGACACTTCAAAGTTTTTACCGATCAAAGATCCGTGGCATTTATGTTTGATCAACAGCAGTTCAGTAAAATTAAAAATGAGAAAATTATGCGGTGGCGGTTAGAACTTGCTTGTTTAAAATTTGATATTATATATCACCCTGGAATTAAAAATGAAATTGCAGACACTTTATCAATAATAAATGCAGGTATAAAACCGCAAATAGATCTAAAGGCACTACATGATGAACTTTGTCATTTCTCACTAGAAGAAATTAGAACTGTTAATTCATGTACGCCGCAGTGAAGTAAAACCTCGTTTCTATAGATCTGAAGGACACTTAATTAAAGCAACTGCACCTTTTGAAAGACTAAATCTAGATTTCAAAGGTCCTTTGCCTACGGCTTCCAGAAACCGTTTCCTTCTTACTATCGTGGACGAGTTTTCAAGATTCCCTTTTGCAATACCTTGTCCTGATATGTCATCTGTTACTGCTATTGTTCACCTAAAAAATATTTTCTCAATTTTTGTGATGCCAGCCTACATACATTCTGATACATGATTTTAATTTATACAGGGTTATCCAAATTAAACTTCCCCATCTCAGAGGCCTGTGCAGAGTGTTATGTGGGTCATAAAGTGATGAAATTTTAAAAACAGACACTTCAGATGATTCGCTCGAGATTTATTAAACAAAAACAATTAGTACAAGAAGTTGCCGATAGGTGGCAACAAGACATTCTACAGATGTCTATATGTGTATTGTGGTTCTCCGCAACTCTTTCCATTCGCAAAGCAGTGTGTTCCACAGCGGAACGCAGTAAGTCCACATTAATTCCACGAACATGTCGAATAATTGCTTCTTTCAGATGTGCCAATTCTCGGTAGACCCGATCCTTTAAGAATCCCCGTAACCAAAAGTCGCATAGTGTGAGATCAGGCGAGCGGGGAGGCCAAGCTGTAGGGAAACAGCGGCTGATCACACGTGCATCGGTAAAAGTTGCCCGTAAACACCTGTTGAACGCCACGAAGAATATGGGGAGGTGCACCATCCTGCATAAATATCGTGTCCTGGAGGCGGCCACGTTGTTGCAGTTCAGGGATCACAAACGTTGTCAACATGTCCTGATACCGTTTTCCTGTGACAGAGCAGGTTTTGAACCCTGTTGGAGTCACCTCTTCAAAAAAATAAGGCCCAATGACGAATGTTGCAGTGAAACCGCACCATACAGTAACCTTTGGAGGGTTCAAGGGCACTTGATGGATTGCGCGCGGGTTTTCACTTGCCCAAATGCGGCAGTTTGTGCCTATTCACTTGACCATTCACGTGAAAAGGCCTCATCCGTCCAAAGGAT